GATCAGTTGACCTCACTTTGCATGTTTCCAAACAGGCAAAGGGAACAACATTAGATTAAGAACGATCAATGAAAATGCATGTCTTAAAAAATTAAATGCAATAAAATTTAAAAAATATCTAAGATTGCAGGGTTTTATAACTACTTGGCTCCATCATTTACCCAAAATACCTATTTACAAATGGATATAACCAGATATGCGATATCTATGTGGATTGGTCAGAAGTTGCTTGAATGTTTGGTTTCTAAAACAGAGATTAGTTGAACCCACTCAGAGGTGATTTGATGTTTAGTGAATTGTTGAACTACTGTTTCTTTAAATAGTTGCTCCTTTTTGCACATACCATCTTTTAAAGTGCCGGCTTTAAACATGGCGATTGGTGCTTGAATAATTTCTTCAGCGTAGAAGTGTCTGCCTTTCTGCTGCGGTACCCCAGGTCTGTTGAACAGAAAACAGTGACACCTTGTATTTCATCGCTTTCTGAAGATTGCTCCGAAGTGCCAAAGCGCTTTGTTTACCTCCCACCCACGCGACAGCCTCCTTGAACACCCTGAAGCAGCTCTTAAATGTAACGCTTCATTCATTTAAATAATGAACACTGGAGACTAAATGAGAATCTAAGGAGAGCTGAGGAGCAGCAATTTTGAGGCGTCTGCAGACTGAAACGCCTCATTCTAAATCCACACACCCACAAGACACCTGACACACACCTGCAGTGTTTCAGGTGTGAATTGTGACCTTTAAAGAGGACAAGGTTGCGTGTGTGTGTGCGCATGTGTGTAACTGACATTTTCAGAGAAGAACAAAGTCAGACTTGACAAGCTGTGTCTTCGTCACACTTATTCAGTTTTTTTTCTTTTTTTCATTTTGTTTTGATTTCCAGCTGTGTTTCCTTCAATCACCTTCATCCCGACGTCGGTTCTTTTTTGTGTCGGCATCCTTGTTGCTCACTGCCTCTCTGTACGGATTCTGTCACTGGTGTCTGGCTTCATGTGAATACCAATGGGAAGGCGGTGGACAGGAGAGCATGCAAATAGGACAGTCATTTGAAGCCTGACTTCAGTGTTCAGAGGATCTGTGTTTGCCTTAAAGTCACAGTTTTCTATAAATGCATTTATCTGATATAACACTGCCAGGCCTATGCTATAACAATGAAAGACAGTTCTTCTGTTTAAAAGGTGGCTTGATTTCTCCTGCCATCACGCCTGCAGACGTATATTAAAAACTAAACATTTTGTAGCACCTGACCAGTATGTGCAGTATCTTGAAAAAATATTTACTCCCCATCAACTTCTCCACATTGTCATGTATCATGCCATAAAAATCGTTTCAAAAGTACTGTGATGTGCATTTGTATTCAGTTCCCCTGAGTAGACTTTATGAAATATTTTTTCAGTATTTGGTGCAATTTTATTGTTTTTGTTGGTCTAAATCGACCAGTTTCCTCCTTCTAAAGGCTGTTCATCTTTACAAAGTAGCCGAAACACTATCAAATGGGATGATTGGGTTTGGGAAGATCATTTTTGAAACATTACTACAGATTCTTAATCAGACTTCGGCCAGGACTTTGACTAGGCCCTTATTACACATGAATATGCAGCAATCTGAACCAATCATTGTAGCTCTAGCTTAATGTTTAGGACTGTTGTCTGCTAGAAGCTTGATTCGTTGCCAAAGCCTGAATTGTTTTGCAGTTTCTAAAACTGGCTCCTCAGTGTATCATGAATAAATCATCATCGCAATATTCCGATTGCAAAAAGCTGCTTATGCAGCAATAATAGAAATTGTTCATTCCAGTGTAATATTTAGCCAGGTGTCGAGTCTCACAAATCACCTGATGCTCACTATGGACACAAACGACTTTGCCCAAAATGTTCAAGGTCAACTCAGACAAGTTTGCTGACCCTTCAGAAGAGATCATCACGTTTTTCACATGGTGTGTTCAGGGTCAGTTTCCAGACTCGTTCATGCTGCTCTCATCTGACTGGAGCTCACATGGACGTCAACGCTCCTCTTTCATGAAATCCAGATTTGTGGAAGTTTGTTGTGCAGAATTTAAAGCTTACATTAATAATAAATGATCTCAATAGATATAAGTATTTTTTTTTTTATGAATATTTGCCCACAATGTTTGATCTGCAATGTTCCCTGACTATTCAGATATTGTGTGAATATATGTAAAACACTTTGCATTGCCTTCTGGTAGAAACTTACTTTACAGCATATTGAACCAGTCTTTACTGAAGCTTTTATCCTTTTTTGACCCTTTTTAATAATTCTCCTCACGGCTTTTCATTGAATCTAGTTATATGGTTCATTTGTATGATTGATTTAATTAGACCTTCCCAGACAGACTGTATTGATTTCAGCTGAATCTAAAAGAAAGAGCAGACGAGAGGATGGTAACAAGCAGTGGGCTACAGAGAGGGGAGGCAGCAAAAAATGAATGGGAGGAAGAAAGATGAAAGCTGAAGGAGATGGTGGTAGAGAAAACAGTGAAAAGAAAGTCTTACAGAATACTGTAAATCCTAGACTGACATCGAACAGTGACGGGAGGGAAAGGGAAAAGTCAAGATATCACCCTGAAGTTTTCCCCCAGATGCCAGAAACTTCAACATTTTGGGCTGACAGCTAAGAACGAGGAACTTTCCATCTGACAGAGGGTAGAGGGAGAAAGAGAGGGCAGAGAATGAAACATATCCGTGTTGGGCTGCAATTAGCATAATATTTCTCCCTGTGTGTCTTCATCTTCCTATTTTTAACTGTCAGACTGAGGGACGGAGATGAAAGAGTGCAAATAACGAACATGAAATTGTCTCTTTTAAGCACATGGGATGCGTTTGCGCGCGTGCATGTAAGAAAAGTATTTGTGTGTTAATTCCTGCCCTGATGTGTAATGACTGCTTGCTCCATTTCAAGAGTACTTCTGCATAAAAGAGTCATGTTTTCCATGGCTTCTTGTATCAAAGCAAAGCCTCAGAAGCTTAGAGGCCACTCCGGCTTTGAGGTTTCAGATGGTTGCCACTTTGAGTCCCACACCACCAGGGAGCGGGGAATAAAATCCCCTAATGGCAAAAAGTGAAGGGCATGGAATTAGCTTTTTTGTTTCTGGAGTATTTTTGTCGTGTTTGATCAGGGTTTCAGGGACATGAACTCAGCCTGGGCAATTTATCTCCAACAGGAATTTAGATGGATCTTTAACGCCGCTATGTACGTTTCCTTTTACAGCAAAAGCTCAACCACTTAGAAAAATGGCCACACTAATTTTTACCAGCTGGCCCCTAAATGCCTGTTACTGCCATTCTTACAAGTCAAGTTTCTACAAACACGAAGACGTTTAAAAGAAACTTGAGATTTAATTTGCCCTTGTTTAACAGGGTTATTAGCAAAGTTTTACTATCAGTGAAATCTGATGTTGGAAAACCTGTACAAATATAAAATAAGTACTAAAATAAGTGCATTAAAGATATAAATCAATGGATATCCTATATGATTACCAAGTTTTGTCGGGATAGCATTGATAAATTGTCCTCTTCACTCTGCAAAACTTTAATATTTTAAACGCATTAGTCCAAGTCCTGAAGTACACTTTCCTCCCCATCTGGTAGCTGGAAAAATTACACAACAGAGCCGGACCAGAGGTAATCAGTCTTCATGATGGATCGCTCCATTTGTTAGAGTGTAGCTTCTGGTGTATCAGGAATCTTTTTTGGACACGTTACAGGTGTTTTGGCCAAAGGCTGTGAAACACTCTGCTCCTACTGTCGCTCGTAAAATTATAATTTTACTGTATTTTTTTTCTTTTTTTTTTTCCCTTGGACAAAAAAAAATCTGAACAATATGTAATCAAAGTATTGATTGCTGCAGAACTGATGCCCTGTCACCAATCCTGGGCAGTGTGTGTTTGTTCTCGTGTGCATCACTGCTGCACAGACTGATGAGTCATTGTGTCAGAGGGGCTTTGATGGCATATCTCAACCTGATGAGGTGAACGCTGCCAAACAATAAACTCTCTCTTTCATCTCCACTCGTCTACACCTACTCCCTCCTTCTGTTCTCGTCTCTTCATCCTTTTGTCAGCTCTCTCCTCTCTCTCCAATCTCATCGCTTACCTTCCCTTTCTTCTCCTCCTTCTTGTCCTCCCAGTCTTTTTCTGTGCTCCGTCATCCAGATTTCTCACCCGTAAAGCACCTCTTTCTCATTAAGTCTAATCCTCGTCGCTGTCTTCCACTCTTCTTTCGTCCACCCATTCACCTTGGTTTTACCTCTCCTCCATCTGTTTTTTTTTCTCCTCCTCTTAAACTCGCTTGTCAACTTAACATCAGCATAACATTTGCTCATCCATCCACGGAAGCCTTTGCCCGCTGGCAGGGAATCAGGTTTTGCATTTAATTTGACTCCAAGTACCACACACAAATATAAACACAAACACACAAAAAAACACCACTGAACAAAGTAAGTGTGATCAGTCATAATTTTATGACCAGCCATTTAAACCGAGCAGCACTGGAAGGATGACCAAAAAGTCTTGGGGTATTTTGGAGTTTGTGGAGCAACAGATTTAGGATTGTTGAGTTTGGTCTGAGATTTCAGGCCTCGTCACAAGTTTCTAGCTGGAATAAATTACTCTGGATTGTTCCTGCTTAGATTCAAAGATAACATTTTTCTGTTTAGCTGGAGACAGTTGAGGCACATCCATGCAAAGCCGCATTTTAATTCAGGATTTTACATGTTACATATGAATCAATGCCACTTAAATACAGACTTTGCATTTTATAAAATTGTACAATTTGGCTTCATCTTTTAATAGTGCCTTTGTGGCTATGGCAATGCATGTCAGGTGTGAAGTAGGATTCTTTATAAATGTAGAATTTGGTAAAGAAAAGATAATTTCCATATTAAGCCCTAAAACATACAAAGAGCACAATTTGTATACTTTAGCTAGTTATTTGAACACTAAATGTCCTTTTTTTCCCATCATTTTGTCTTTTATCTTTAAGGTGTTCGTCGTCCTCCTGAGCTGGATCAGCGCGCCAACGTCCACTACACCCTGCTGATCGCCTGCGTGTTCGTGGCATTCTTTCTGGGAGCCATCCTATCGGGTTTCCTGGTGTCTTGTTACTGCAGCCGCAGCGCAGCTCACCGAGCCCGCAGGCTAGGGAAGGACCCCGAAGCATCTCTGCCGCACGCTCTGTCGCTGCGATCACTCGCCAAGCTGAACGGGCTTCTGGAAGGGCAGCCGAAGGTTGGCTATGAACAGTTTTGTTCTTTCAGACTTTAAAAACTTTTTTCTTCTTAAATTCTCATCATTTGAAAGTATAATGTAGTAGAAAACGGTTGGCTACTATATTTTGTATTTTACTAAAATGGTGCTACAATAAAATGGTATGTATATGTTCCTATATGTGGGATTGTTTTCACTGGATCACATTTTGAGGACGAAAGAAATGATGATGCTCGTTGTTACTTGACTGATCTCATTCCAAATGAACGTTTTCCACAAGCTGAACTTACAGGACGTTGATGCAGAAACGCACATTAATCTAAATTAAGTTGAAGACGTTTTGAGACTGCAGTTAAATGAAAACATTAAGTTGACAGACTTAAATGTGCTCATCACTGCTGCTGAATTACATTTCAATCAGATTTTTTTAAGTTCCACGATACAGCTGAGAGGTGGCAACATAGCTGCCTGAATTTTGAGGAGCAGCATAAATATTCATCTCCCCTTTCTCCCTCCTCCTCATCACCCTGAGGGATCACATAATAAGATTCACCTTGGTGTTTTATTCAGTCATTACAATTGACGGTTTCATTATTATTCCATCATTTTTCCAAATGTCCTTCAGTGAGAATCGGAGTCTCTAAGCTGCTGCTAACCTCTGACCCTAGCTGAAATATACATTTAAAAAAGTCGCTCATTAGCTGTATAGAACCATTAAAATTCACCCCTATTTTTTTTCTCTTCCTAGGATGACAAACTGGATGTGTCGACGCCAAAAATGTACAGCTCCTTTATCCCTAACGGTCGGGCTGAGCCCCACCTCCACACCCCTGGACATCAAGGCCTGCAGCTGGGAGACCCTGACCTCAACCTCTCACAGGTAGCAGATCGTACAGTCCTGGCTTATGATTTACATTCATCGTACTGACAAAAGTAGTTGTTTTAATTAAAGGTATATTCAATTATTTTAAATCCTGCACATTTTTCTGGCTGTTCAGTTTTGCCTGGAGATCTTACCAAAATCTCTTCTGCAATATTCCCATTTTTAATGGCAACGTTTTTGGCTGCCTTTGTTGAGTAGTTTTGTAATTAAATATTACTTGTGCGTGCACTGAGGAGTTTCACTGCCCTTGTAAGCAAAGCCACCTTTAATTAACAAGCTTTTATACACAACAACAGTTGATACTCTCATTTACAAGCATTGAACGTCCCTCACAAACAAGTAGTCGTTATATTAATGGTAAACAATATCTTGTTTGAAAAAATTTTGGCAAAGTATCTGAACATTTTTATTTATTTATTAGATCAAAGATGCAGAGAGAGTATTGTTGCTACCTTGCAAGTTGTGCAATGTAAGCATATTGTGGCATACGGTTTGTTTACATTACAAATCTTACATTATTATTTTTTTAATTAAAAATATTCTTTCCTCAGGTACAAAAATATAAATCACTGAATGCATTGGTCTAACCTCCATTTAGTCTCTTTCTCAGGGCGATGGAGAACTCTCTGGCTTGCCGACGCCTGACTCCACCCCAGAGCTCCCTTTCAGGAACATGAAGGGTTTGCGACATCATCAGTATGAGAAGAACCAAAACTGCAACAATGCCAAGGATAACAACCCCAAGTCAGGCCCCAGCTGCTCCAAATCCAACCAGGGCTTCATGGCTGTGGTTGGGAATTCTTTGAGCCAGCAAGTGTTTCCCTTTTCTCACCACAACGGTGGCGGTTTGAGCAATGGGGCAGCTCATGGGGCAGGAGCCTCGTCAACTTCACTGCACCTCCTTGAGGAGAGGAAAATTCCCAATGATGAGCGAGCTGCCGCCGCCGCTGCCACTACAGCCGCTGCAGGAGGAGGAGTGGGTGGAGCTCCACATCACCACCACTCCCAGCAGTCCCTACCCCAGACGGTGGTGGACGTGTCTGCACTGGATGAGCTGCTCAAACACATCCATGAGGTCAGCGCATCAGGAACCGGTGGAATCAAGGTCCTCACGTCTACATCGTCGTCCTCACTGTTCCCCGGACCGTCCTCTACAGGAGGAGGACATCACAGTGGTCACCATCACCACCATCATCAGAATCAACACAACCAGACTCGAACACATCACTACAACCACAGCTATCACCACAGCAACCATCACAACAACAACAACAGCAGCAGCAGCAGCAGCAGCCACCATCACCAGCAGCAGATCCCAGAGACGGAACCAACTTCGTATTACAGCACCTCCACACTGCCGAGGGATGGCGTCCCCAAACGCTTGGATTCAGCTCCTCAAAACTCCACCTCATCCTCTGCCACGTCTTCATCTTCATCCTCCTCTTCAAACAACCCCACGTCCTCCACCTCCATCCCTTCTTCGTCCTCTTCCTCTTCCTCCACTCCGCTCCAACAGCAGGTGATCCCGGAGCGGCCTGGAGGCAGCGGTGTCCCCGTGGCGCGTCACCAATCTCAGCGCCAGTCCCTCATCAAGATGGGTGCAGCAGGTGGCGCTGTGCCCCGCCATCACAGCTTCAACCAACGGGGGACACACGCACACTTTCTGGCCAGAATGAATACAAACAACAACAGCAGTAGCAGCAACAACAACCGACCCCCAGGTTCAGCCGCGGCGGCCAATACAAACACCAGCAACAACAACGAGAGCCAACGGGTGTCTGTCGCCAGCGCCTGTCTGACACGGCAGCACAGTTACAGCGAAGGGCCGCATGCGCAGCGGGCGGCAATAGTCCGAAGAACGGTGTCCCTAAAGCCACAGATCCCACCAAAACCGCTTTTTCTGCCAAATAGTGCAACGTCTGCAGTAACGGAGGCAGGAAAGTACAACTACTAAGACTGCAGGTGGACAAGATGCCACCCAAACATGGCTGCAATGCTCCCCACAAAGAAAATCACCGAAATGCCGGATGGGGCCATGCAAAAGGACAAAATGAGCACCGATGGGCCCAAAAGACAGGAGGAGACCTCAGTCCTCGTGATTCCTTATCACAACCTTTCAGTTGTACTTATCGTCATGCTGTTGACGGCGGGCCATCTGTTGTCTCTCTGAGGCACAACTGAGACAAACCTGCTTCTTTGCAGGGCAGGATTCCTTGTGGAGACTCGCTCTTCACAGTAAATGTGGATCAAAACCAGTTCAGACAGAAAACGTCTGAGAAACATTCCAGAAGCAGGGCGAAAGGTGTTAATGATTCAAAAGGAGTCCCCAAGGCTCGAGGTGGCCTGGAAAAATTCCTGATTAATGCAGTTTTCTTACGAGAGCTTTGATCTAATGTCCCGAGTCGCTGCACCTTGGAATGGGGCCCGGATTTCAATTGCAAATATTTAAAAAGCAGGGAATTGGACAAATGCAGACCTGAGATGAACTGAATCTGGGACTGTTGTGCCGCTTTGAGTCCGAGGACGGCAAAGCTTTCTGCAGAAGCAAGTCAAAGAAAAGTCAGAAAAAAAATACTCTGCTCAGCAGATCTGCTTTTTCTGACTCTTGATTAATGAAATTTCAAGAAATGTTCACTGTCTGAAAAAAGTAGAGTCCATTTGTTCAAAGCCAAGACTTGAAAATAGTTTTGACTGAGAAAAACAGAGGAAGAGGGAAGTTAGAGATCACATTAAAGTGTTATAGTTGAGCAGTCAGGAGATCCAGATGAGAGTATTTACCCCCATATAAACCAGATAAATGCTGCTTTCATCAATATCAGAAAAAATAAATATTGAGGTCTGGTCGATGATTAAGTGAAGATTTCTGATAAACCATTTCGGCAAATTGCTAATTAATGCTTTCATTAAACTTGGCACTCATCATTTTTATCCTTCATGGGTTCAAATTACTTAATTGGCTCAATGAATAATTAATCTTTCAAATTATTACATTTCTGTCTTCTGCATCTTTACTCTTGAACAGTCTTACATCTGCAGCATTTGCAGAATATGTTTTCACTCAAAGGTTCTGTGAAGTCAAGAGGTTTAAAGTGCTGGCTGCTATTTTCAGATTTTGATATAGGGCACGAGGAATATTAGTTTATCAGAAATGTTTTCTCATCACCAGCTGATCACAGGAGGATCTTAGCAATGAGAGTTCACCCAAATAACGACTCACTTACCTCCACTGCATTGGTTTCCAAAGTGTTGAAGTCTGCTTGCCAGCATCTGCAATTTAGTTCTGAAATATGTTTGAGAATGGAAATATAATCAATTGTACACGTTTGTTAATCTTCAGGCAAGTATACTCAAATCTAATATATGGAAAATATAAAGACCTGACTGTGATGCTGGAGATTGTTCTTTAGGTTGTTTGAGGTTCTTTATTTTGGGGGAAATGAAAGTCTGCACCATATGATGTTGCCTTCCTGGAGCTCAAAATGACCTGCATGACAACTTGTATACATTTAACTCAAAACTATTTGTTCACATGTAACATCAGTGTTTTCTCAAATAAATTGATATCGGATACCTTTTTAGTGTCCTTCTTCTACCTGGCCTTTCAAAAGCCTCTCCTGAAGGCGTTTTCTTTAAGCGCCACACTGTGGACTCAACCAGCTCTGGTCATCTTTCTCTCAGCCCGCGATTAGCCTTCTTTACTCCTTGGTTCATGTCCACCACTATGAATTAACATCAGTTTAAAAATGTCATGGCGAGGAAAATAATGCAGATATAAGTCGCATCTAACTAGAAGTCGCAGGGCAAAAATGTGACTCGTAGTCTGGGAAATACGGTAATTTAACCTGCAGGACTGAAACTTGAAGCAGAGAACAAGAAGGCTGACTAGAGTAAAGGAAAGTTGCACTTCAATCTGTAAAGTGTCTGAAATGTAGATAAATTAAGAGAAAAAAATAATCTGTTAGGTTCAACAGTGTAATAGTGCAGTATAAAAGTCATCTTTTCAGACCTACCTTGCATCCCAGTTCCTCACTCAGGCAGACTCTTCAGTCTGCAGCTCGTTTTGGTCTGTAGGAGTATTTCTCCACAGATGGTCCAAAAATATCCAACTGTGAAGGAAATCTGCCGTTTCCTATTTTAAAAAGCACTTTTTGTCTTGTGTTCATTTCTTTTGTTGATGCCTTTGGGCTAGAATGATTACATGAAGGTAAAAACAAAAACAGTTGACTATGCTTTAATTGCAGGAGAATGAAACTACGTTCTTACCCATGTGATGTCTCCATGTTTTGAGTTTATGTTGAGGAAATTTGGAAAAAAGTCTGGCAGCAACATAACCCCGACACCCCGGCACAGATAAGTATCGATGGATGGAACCACCGACTTTATTCTTAAACTTCTTTGTGAATAACTTCATGTGGTATCCTTGGATTCATTGTCCATTGAAACAATCTCAAGTCTTGGAGATTGTTTTAGTGCTTTGTCCTTATGATACTCTCTCAAATGGTAAACAACAGAGGCGGTCAGAGCGGGGATCGAACCAACAACCCGCCGAGTGAGGGACAAATTCCTGCCACCATCGACTTGTGAGTTCACCACTCTCTGACAAAACAACAATAACGCTACAACCACTGTACGCCAGGGTTTTAATTACAACACATAAATGTTAGTTTCATCAGACCACAGGAAATATCTCCAGAAAATGTATCACTTTGCTTCTGAAGACAGTTTTTATTTGATGTTTGAAGTGGATAATGTAACTTTCAGCATCTTTTAAAGGACTGTTGAATTTGCTCTGGACTTGATATGCACATACAACCCATTTATCTCAGGGACGTAAAACCTGACTCCTTCCTGCACACTATGATGTCCAAACATTGTCTTTTGTAATTAAAATAAATTTTTGTAATTATAACTGACCTAAACTAGAAAACAGCTTGTCCATTTTATTGACAGAGGAAAGAAAAGTTGTCTTTTTGCATTTATGCCAGCTGTTTTTTACGTTGAAATCCATGCAACATTAAGTGAGCTTATAATTTCTCAGACTTTAAAACAGAAAATAAGCTTGTGCTTTGAGATATGAAAATGACTTTGTCAGGGTTTTTTTAAATTTTATTCCACCTTTAACACTGAACCAAGCAAGCATTCTGACACCGGTTTTGTTTTATCTGACTCACTCAGCTGGCTGGACAAGCTCCCCCACAGCAGCTTAAGTAATAACACAGCAGCAATGATGCAGTGCTGTTAATGAGGTATCCCTGTCTGCTACAGTTAGGCTGAACAGGCTCTGCACCAAATGATGCAACGTAGTCCCCCAGCACAACACTGTCTAGTGTGAGGGAGCTGATTCTTGACTGTGAAGGAACCAACTTTATACAATTCCACTTCCTAAAAGTTGTAATTATCAAGCCGTTTGTAAATTAGTACAAGTCGCTGTTCGGATTCTACAAAAGAAAGCAAAGCAGTGGCTGCTATTAAAGAGGGGATTTATGTGTCAGTGTATGAGGGGGTTACATCAGCCTCCTTTATGTCTGACCTGAACCCCTGCTCTGATGTAGTTATGAGATATCAGTGTTCTGGTGCCTGGAAGGACTGAGTCTGCAAGAAACAAGGTTTAAATTAACAAGTCCTGCTCGCATGACGACAGACTCTAATCTCCTACCGTTAGTTGTAGATTGATGTATTTTTACTGCCTACAAGACAGGAAACAACATAACAGACAGAAGATAATCATCAGAGGCCTAGTTTGATCATGGGTATATACAGGTCGGCCTTTTTTGTGCACATTAAATAATTGTTGTAGAACATAGTCAGTGTATCTCTTGCATTTTCTTTTCTAATAGGAAAAAAGTATTTACTGATCATACACATTTAAATGATTACAGATGACCTTTTCAAACACCAACATGCTAGTTGGGAACAACTAGAAATGTTTCTGTCATTGATGTACAATAACTTTGGAATCTGTATTTGTCCCAATAACTCGAGTTGATAGCTTTATCTTTTTTGATATTTCTGACTCAGCATAAACAGCTATAATATTTAATAAACTCCCATTCTGCTCCTGCTAACCACATTTGCATGTGCTAAGCTAATGCTGACATGTCTTACTCGCCTTTTTGATTTTTTGCTGACAAAACTAATAGAAAAAAAAATTATTTGCTTTATAAAATTAAACCTTTGCTTTAATCATAATATTTAATAGCTTGTGTTTTGTTTGCTGTCTGTTTCTGAAAGCAGAATGTGAAAAATAGCTCACGTATTCACAGTAAGGCGAAGCAGCCAGTACGGTCTCTATCAATCTAAATGTTACTGCAGAGGATAAAAACACGAGATTGTTAAAGAAAACCCAGATTTATTTGAGCACAGTCTATAGTAGAGCTTTGGTATCTGTGCACACGAAAATATTGTTTAATCAAGTACACCAAGATCAATTGCTAGAATTTCTTCATTTAGGATTTGGATGCTAAGTATAGAGCTAATGGATACCAATGTGAAAAAATACCAGAGTGCTGCTTTAAATTGTCTCAAAAGGAGCCTCTCTGCAGTACGGCTGCTTTAGTGTCACGACAAGCAACAAATGCAGACAGCCAGCAAGCGAAAGGAAATGAGCATAAACAGAAATGTCAAGTGAGATATTTCACTCAAAATCTCAGGATGATTTAATCTAAAAGATGAAAAGTACAACAGTAGTTTACATATATACAAATAGGACCTTTCAACTGAAATAAAAAACACAGACTTCCCAAAATTTAGACATGACCCTCTCACATGCAACAGAAGAATGACTTTGTTTTATATGGTGATGCACTTTTGTCCCTGAATATAAATTTGTTTATCTGGAGGTTCTTAGTTCCCGTCCTCTAAACGTGCAACGATTCGCCGAGGGAGGTGGAGGAAAGTCAGAGCTTTTTCACAACTGAAGATGCAATCACAGCATCACCAAGTGGACCACAAGAGAACGACACGTTGACTTTATTTTTGAGAGTCATTTCTAAACGTGAATGCTGTGTTTTGTGATGCCAGCTCATGTCTGCGACATGCCAGTTGATCACCCATAAAGATAACTAATCCGCTGTCATATGCAATAAACAATTTACAATTTCATACACAGAGCAGAACAGAATCGGGTGTTGTAGTTAAAACTACTTTAAATCTTATTTATAAGCAGCCATGATGGAGCTAGCTGTTCAGCTGGAGTCATTTCTCTGCTTGTCGTTTATTCTTGGTAGTTGTGGAAAATTATGTTTGTTGTACAGGTCACAACGAGACATACATTTTGTGCTTGAAAATGTTCTGGTTTTGTACATTTCGCTTTGTCTTATTTAAAGCTACATGACATGAAAACATATGATGTGATAATATTGTTGAATGTCATTAATTTAGACACCAATAAATAAGAACTTCATCAAGCTACGGAAAAAAATATCTAAAATTCCTGATTTCCATCGAAACTTTTTATTGAACTGCTGCTGTGTATAATTACTGAGCTGTACTTTCTTTGACTTTACTCCCTTTAAACTTTGACTTTTAAACTGTTTTGTGCTGCTTCAGATAAAATAGTGTGACCAAATATATTGAAGGCAGAGAGCCTGAATGCATAGTAGTTACATTACAGTAGGTTTTGTCTTTTTAAATAATTTGGGAACATTTATTGTAATCCTAGCAGTTCTTCATGGAGCATGAAATTCTACTCTACACACTTTGATATACTGACGTTGTGATACCAATAACATTGCAATGTATTGTACCCAGTCCAATTATCCAGAAAACGTTGCAATGTTCTAAACACTCTGCAGTTTTACTGCAGCTCTATAGAAAGCAAGACAAATCCCCTGAAGAACAAACGCAAACTGAGAACAGATTGTGGCATCAGCCCTACCTTCTGCAAAACAAACATAATCGGTGTCAAACATCTGTGCTGGTTTGTGTCGCTATAATTTTAATGATATTAAGAAATGTTTCCAGAGGTCATCAAAGGTCAACCAGCCTTTGACTCCACAATTAATTTGGAGTCAATTAATTGTGCGACCTACATTTTATCTGCAAAAACAGCACTTTTTAAAATATTAAAACTACAATGGCACAAACATTTTTGCTCCGCAAACCAGCACAGATGTCACAGAATTGATTGTGAGCGTGGATTTAATCATAAACGGCTTCACAGTTCAATCACCCTTTATGAGACATGAAGACATTGAAAAACTGGTTGTGGCATTTTTGTTTTATGGAGAGCAAACATATTTCAGAGATTTTAAATCTCACCTATGTTTGGTTAAAAAAAAAAATCTGTTTTGATTCTAGACGATTTTATGAAAACCGTCGCTCAGCCACACCAAACTGCGATGCTGCCATCTGCTGGTTTAAGACATTAGCTGTATTTGAAAGGTAAAGATTCAATATATTAATATATTACACATCATATTATAATTGCTCCAACATCTGAAAGGAATTTTCCTAAATAGAGGTGAACAGAAAATCACCATGTTTATTGTACATTTGGCTTTTATGTCAAATATAATGAGTTACAGTGGCGAACTGCCCTCACTCTACTGTTTAACTGCCTCTTTTAATGAATAATATAGCTATGATGAAAAATTTCAAAACTTTTTCCACTTTTGATGTGGCACAAGTATAACTTTGTGGAAAAGAACAAACTTGAAAGCTTAAAGGTAGGACAAGCTAAGCTGCCCCATGAATTTCCTGACATTTCCTCATCCGTATCCTTCAGCTGAAGCCACAGGTTACAAAAAATCAATAAGATCTCATTGTTCAAAGCCATCAGTGAGGAGCTGAGAACAAAACTATTAGATACATACACTGCCTGGCCAAAAAAAAAAATCAAATATTTCATTGGACCGTGTTCAGCTGTGATTATGACACCCATTCACTACTGTTTCAATAATGTCACAAGATTTATTTTCATCCAGACCTGCATTCATTTGTTCATCAAGTTGTTGTACTGATGATGTAAAAGTCCAAACGGCTTCTCCAGAACATCACAAAGGTTCTTAATGGGCTTGAGATCCGGACTCGGGTTGGTTTCGGGTCTCGTCTTTCACAGAAAATAAAAGCGAATTTGCTCATCTCCTGGTAAAATTGTGCAAGGGAAAAGTTTTAGCAAAGGTAAAAAAAAGTTTGGAAATATTTATTTTGGTCACAAAAACACAGCATTTAAACATGTACACTTTTGAAATCCATCATCTGTGTATGAAATTAAAGAAGTCAAATGAAAATATCCTATTTTTAATTCCCTGTGATTCACATATCCATAAGGTTTCTATATTCCACTCTCACTGTGATTGGCATAATCTTGCTGACATGCAGCTCCACTCATAAACTCACACATAAAACTTTATCCTCACAAAGATTAATTCAGAAACTGAAGTATTACACCAACTTATTGTAAGTCATTATCTTGTAAAAACTGAGCCATCCGGTGTAATAGTGCACTTACATGTTTTTGCAAAAGAAAAAAACAGAAAAGCAAAAAGTCTGTTTGATGAAAGGGAAGATCATTTTCAGCTCGGTGCAAAAACAAACACCTACAAACAGAAACCTGGACGATATTTCTTTGTAGATTTCCAAAGAAAGATTTAAGGCAGAAATGTTTGTAATAAAAAAAAAAAAAAACAATCCCAAATAAAAATTAAAATAAATTAGATTTTGAATTAAACATAATGCAGTTGGAGGGATTTCAGCAGGTCAGAAGTTTATAAAAACTACAATTAGCTTTCAAAATATGATTGAGGCCAGGCTGCTTCCCATCTCCAATCGTCATTGGACGATAGGCAGGGTAGACCCTGGACATGTCACCAGCCCAACACACACACACACCAAAGGACAATTTGTAGAGGCCAGTCAATCGAACAGTCTTTTGCATGTGGAAGGCAAACCAGGCTGGGATTCAAGCATTCTTCCTGCAAGGCAGCAATGCTTCAAACTTCACCATTGTGCAGCACACCACTAAAAACAATGGAAGCTAACAGGTACATCATCCATTCTAATGTTCAACAACAGGCTTGGTTGAAAAAAAGGACAGTGAGACAAATACTTTCTTATTTTTATACGTCCATTCAGTCATTTTTGTGGCCGCTACCACGCTCAGCCTGAGCTCTGCTGGGACTTCTCCTTCATGTGTCTGCGGATGTGCCTCTTGAAGTTGGAGTTGTCGCTGAAGCTGCGGCCGCACACGTGGCAGCTGTACGGCTTCTCGCCCGTATGGACCCGCAGGTGTTTCTGGTAGCCATCTGACCGCGTTAGTCTCTTCCCGCAAATATTGCACGTGAACGATTTGTCGACTTTGCCGTCAATTTTTCGGTGACTCCTCGTGTGTTTGGCCCACTGAGAGCGCTGGTAAAACGCTTGGCCACAGATGGTGCACATGTAGGAGTCCACTACTTTAGGGAGAGTCATGTCAACACAGTGATGCTGGCTGTTTCCTAAAGCTACAGGTTGATCATCGTTGAGCTCAGAGCCGGTCTGTTGGACTGAGGTTCCAGGCTGCGGATCAATGTCTGGGTCGTGCAGGTCCTGGCAGAACTTTAAGCCCAGAGACCCGGTGGAATCGTTGTCCTGTTGCGTTCGTGCTGAGTTTTTCTGGAACAACAGAAAACTCGTATTGCTCTCACCCGGTGGATCTGACCACACATCCTCCTCTGGTTCCTCCTCTTTGATGCGACTCGGCGGTTCCTCTTCGTTGAGCTCTACGCCGGAGCTCCAGTCCTGCTGCTCAGAGACGGCTGCAAAGCACACGTTTAGATTTTTAAACCATTAAATGCTCAGCTTCATCATCTGACAAAAAGAACTATGTTTCAATCTTTTATTTCTACTAATTTTGATAATTATGGAAAATTAGACAAATGACAATAAAAAACAGAAATGTTACATCCATGCTTGTGAAAGTAATAGGGGAATACTCCTGACTTGGTATGTGGACCAAACTCCAAGACTTTGTGACTTAGCCTACAGGTAGGCTAAGTCACAAAAAGTCATTGACAAAGAAGTAATCAGTGTCATGAATAAGGTTTATCAAAGGAAGGTTGACAAAAAAGCCATATATAAATATCAGGACAAAATGAAATTAAGTAAAATATCGGATGTTTAGAGCAAAACAACTTGAAAAAAAACTTGTGCTCAATTGAAAGTCGTACCGTCATAAATAACTGTTGTTGCCAAATGAAACTGATTTTCGTTTTACATAAAGCCAGAGATGCAGCTGGAGAAGCGTCTCCATACCTGAGCTGTCGGCCTGCAGGGAGATCCGCGGCTTCCTGGAGAGCTCCAGCAGGCGGCGCTGGCGGACAATCTCCAGCTTGGAGCGGGTGATCTCCTTCTCATATTCCACTATGGCTCTCCCAAACACCTCGAAAATTTCCTCTGCAGCCACGGTAAGCCGCTGGTTGATCACAAGCCGCAACATCTCGATTTTCGACATTTCCGCGATAACTTCAGAGGATTCTTAACCAGAAGAAATATGATCGAATACCGGATGAAAAACTGTGGAGATCCGGTGACTTGTGTTCCAGCTACGGCTCCAGGTTAACTTCTGTGAGGCGTCCGAAGAAATCTTATGAAAGGCCTCCAGCGCCCCCACCTGGTCAGGAAGGCTTATTACAGGTTTACAACTTAACATTGACGCAAATGTTTTATCACGCATATTTTCAACAATAAAAAATATATACAATACTTTTTATTATTATTATTTCTTTACACTGTTGACATTTAGTTTCTTTTCAATTTTAATTTAAATTGCTAGGGCATTTTTAAAACATTTTTCCAATTGGTTCTCTACATTTTATTAAAATGTTCACATATTTTACTTCCTCTATATTACTATTATCTATAGTGATTTATATTTGATTATCAATATTTGTGTATTTCTGGTGAAATGGTCTATCTTTTTTCCACATGTAGCTCACCCACATGTTACTGAGCTATGTTTAAATTCAGACTTCTTCACACTTAATTTTGCAAAATTTTCTGTTTATTTTATTTGGCAAATACTTTTTTTACTATTTTAATATCCCGGTAAAGATAGAAGTTTTCTTTTGAAAATAAGACCTACATAAAATTGAGGGAAAAGTCATTAGTTTTAATTTTATATTTTACAGTCTATAATTAGCAATCCAATCGGTCTATTAGTCTGAAAACTGTATCAGTAGTAGGTAGGTTTCTATCACCTACTTTTCAAGTGTAGATGGAAACCAAAGCATTGCTTCACTTTGCTCTATTTTTAGGCCATAATGTTTTACTTATATCAAATAATGTTGCTTTTATATTATTGTTTTATATATCAACATTTGAATTCTCTAAATTCTGACTCTTTTTCATTAGATTTTTTTTTTACTTAACATTATGACAAAGAACAACTAATACAGTTGCATTAAGTCAAAGGTGTAAACTGTGTTAAGCTATATAAAGATATAACATTGGCCACATCAATCCAAAACAATCTGAATAAAACAGATTCTAGATCTTTGTTTATGTGATGAAGTTTTGATTTTCTTCCTACAAACATGAATTTATTGAAATCTCCCACACAACAAAAGTTTCAACTTTTATCCAGACAAATTGTGTTAACTTTAGCCAAGGGTACAAGAAATTATAATCAGTATAAAAATAAGAAAAGTCATCATCTTAAAGAGAAAACTTTAGCAAAGAGAAATGCAAATGTTTAAACAACTGAGACCATTATGAATCAGATCCAAACATTTTATAAGAATAAATGTTAGTGGGAACAAAATCCAAAATAACAATAAAACAAAGATGTAATAAACTGCTACAAATCGGAAAACTGAGGATGGAGGTGTGAGAGAGTCTTATGCCATCCTCACAAGATACCACCCTCGGCGGTTGCTCATATGAGAAACCACCATAACGTGCCATCAATTTTGGGAACATCTGAAGAGGGACATGGACAGAGAAGTGCTCTCGATCTGATAGAGTTGGACAACTTTCTGAATACAACATTAATGAGCCAAGATATGGGCATGAAGTTATGACAACTACCAAAGAAAACTAAATGCTGGAATTAAACAAAAATGTACAAAGTATTAATCTAAGGGTGTGCAGTTGCATGCACCTATTGTAATAATTTTCTTTGAACAGATTTTTTTTCAGTAGAATTTTGCAGGATGTTTTAATGTGACATTTAATTATATTATATCTACCTTTTTAACAATTTTTCAAAAAGTTTATTGCTTTTATTGTTTAGGATAAAGCTAGAGAAGTTTTTCTTCAATATTTCTGACTTACAATAAGCAGATTTTCAAAATTGCTTTTTCTTGTAAATATAATAAACCAAACAAAAAATATCTAATTACAAAGAGCAAGGCTCAGTTACTGCTTCCACAGGTGTTCAAAAAGTGATGGATTTAAATGTCTTTGCATATTAATCATATGATTTGAAGACAACAAATCCTAAAATTAAAATAAAATGACTGACATATCTGAAACAGAATAAAAGTTTCTAGTCATCAATAAACTCTGATGAAATGTTCCTTTGATAAAAGTGTCCATTACTTTTCTCTGTCTCACAGGGGAAGCCCTTCTGCAGCAGCTCAAGTGTCCCAGCTGTCAGGTGGCAGTGATGGCGGCACAGATCAGGCCTTTCTTCTGACACGGGTGTTTATAGAAGCTGGACAGCTGACTGAAGCTGCGGGCGCAAATGGAGCACCGGTACGGCCTCTCTCCTGTGTGTGTCCGCAGGTGGACTGTCAGGTTTCCCTTCTCCGTGAAGCTGTGACCGCAGTACATGCAGGCGAACGGCTTCTCGCCCATGTGGCTGCGCACGTGGCGCACCAGCGACGCCCGCCGGCCGAAGCTCTTGCCGCAGATGCTGCAGCTGTGTGGCCGTTCGCCCGAGTGGATCTTCATATGGATGCGGAGGTTCCCTCGCAGCGTGAAGCTCTGCCCACAGACGCTGCAACGGAATGATGTTTCTCTGTGAGCTTTCAGATGAAGCTTGATGCTTTCCATTTGTTTCATCTGTTTTCCACAAACTCCACAGTTCTCCTGATGCACTGCAGCGTGGGTGATCAGGTAGCCCATCTTCTGGAAGGTGATGCCACAAATCTGGCAGTCAAACTGTAACGGATCAGTGGAGGCCTGAGGTTCTGAACTGGAACTTTGATCTTTGTTTTCTGCCATTTCCTCTGACTTCCACAACGTGGCATCATCTCTCCAGCCGTCCTCACTGTTCTCTGTGTCAGAGTCCTCACAGATGACTCGGTCATCACTCGCTGCTTCTGGATCCAGCTGGTGTGTTAAACTTGGGGGATGGCATGTTGTCGACTCTCCAAAGTCCTCATCCACACCTTCTGACTTAATCAGAGCAGCAGAGGTGTCGACAACTTTCTCTATAAGATTGTCGGTATGAAACAGTGGGGCATCAAGGCTCTGGTGTTCAGGACATTTCTTCATCCAGGATGAGTCCTGCAGAGGCTCTAAAAGATGAAACAACCACAGAAAGCTCATTGATCCACTTTAAGATCAATGAAAAAGCTTATTCAATAGTAATGTTTATGTCATACACTTTACAAGAAATTTAGCATTATATTTATAAAAAAATATTTAAACTGTTAGCATGTTAATTTGGCTGCAACAAGTTTCAGGAAACTTAATTTTTTATTTTCAAATGTTTCACACAGAATTTTCTTTCAAAATATTCTCTATTTGAAAAAAATACAAAAATATTTGCTTCAACACTCTAATCAGTACAGTGCTTTGTAAAAATATTCACACCGCTTGAACTTTTTCACATTTTGTCACCAAAATTTGATCTTTTCTTGTAATATATTTGGTGTTTATGTATCTGCAACAGCTTGGGCCGCTGAATCAAACCTGTCTGTTCCTGAATTGTGGTGAGAGTGCCACATAAAAGTATGTAAAATGATTACATGATTACACCTTGGACAACCTGGGTTAGACTCGAACATAATCACAGAAATATTGAAAACAACTTAATATTTTTCTTCTACATCACAAATATGCCCTACTTTCTGCTGGGCTATCACATAAAAAGAGCTTTTACTAGATGTGTTTTTAAGTGTTTTAAACGGAAAGAATTCAAGTGTGTTTTAAACTGGAAATGATAACTGTTCTCTAAATACAGCTGTCATTATTTGCTGGTTTAATGTTTTCAAAATTAAACCAACATACACGTTTAAGAGTGAAGGATTATTTAATGTCATTTTTAGTGTTTTTGGTTTTAAAAAGCAGTAACTATGCTTGCAGTTCACACAAACCAACCTGTTGCCCGGCTCCACTCCCCGGACCTCAGGCTGTCCAGTTCCCGCTGCTGGCAGTTTATCTGCTCCTGGTACCGAGCCACTGTCTTCCCGAACACAATCAGAATGTCCTCCACTGCTGCCGCCAGCCGCTCGTTCAGGAACACCCTGAATGTTTCCACCTCTGACTGGGGAATGACCACAGGCTCCACGGTAGTCTCTACCGCTCCGACTGCGGCGAAAGGCGGCGGAGAGAACAGCGACGGGAACATTTGTCTCTCAACGGACATGGCTACAGCCTCCCTAAGCGCCTGTGTGTTCAAAAAGGTAAAATAAATACATATATTGGCATTAAAAGAGGAGGTAATAGATAAAAACAAGAAACGAGAGAGATAGACGACAGGTGGGTGTTACTAATAAGAGATTTTCTGATGGATTTGAGGCTGTAAAGTTAAAAGTAAACAAAGCAGAAGCCGGGTCCGTCCAAGAAACACGTCCGGAGAAATCTTTGGGTGAAAGTTAGCGATAGTTCCGCTGTGCCAGTGAGGCCGTTTCCCGACAGTGCCTCTGGTGTTGGGAGTGCAAACGTGCATGTGTAGGGATCATGGACATAAGAAATGGGTAGAAACTAGTCAAAATGTTTCCGCTGCATTTAATCAAGTAACTTTGGGAGAACAGTAGAATGTCTGGTAGTTTTATCACAATATATTTTTCATGTTTAATTGAGGGTAAATATGAGCAAAGTATTGATGTTTTACTTGAGGACAATTTCTGAATACCACTTCAAATACCACTAAATGAAATACAAGTTTGTTTTAACCAGAAGAACATATTGCAACCTATGTTCTGCTGAATGTAACAGCTTTGTCTCTATTACCCCCAAAAAAGCAGCAGAGACGCTATATGCTGTCTTCTAATAATGCACAGACTTTTTTCAGTTGAGTTAACCTGAAACAGTGAATATGAATCATAATAAACAACTGTGCTCTGTTTAGGGGGAACCTCAAGCAATATAGTACAAAAACAATTCATATCTGTGAATGTATTTCATTCAAGCAGAGACAAAATCAACTGATTTATAAGAGCATGTTTAACCAGATTCAGTGCCAAAAACCTGCAATATTGACAGAATGAGCAAATGTTTTATTCATAGGAGAAATCAGATTTTACTATACGCACACATTTTTTCTTACCATTGTTGCATTTTGCTTCACAGTACACCACAAGAGGACACCATTAGTCCAAAAATGAGTGTTGCACATTAGATGTGTTCAATTACATATTTCCGTGTCTAGACAACGGAAATAGTCATCCTCTGTACAGAATGAGCACAACGCAAAGATCAACAAAAAGTTGGTGGATTATTCACTTCTTTCTTCTTAAGACTTCTGATAAAATACTTAATTAAAGGTTATTCCCTAGAGTTGCAGAGTGTGTGGGAAGATCCAGTTTCCTGGATCAAATGAATTGTTTGTGAGCAGGCCTCTGCAGAGTGAGGAAATCCACTGAAGAGTGATTCAGCCATTTGATTATGTTGCATTGGAGAAAAAAAACATTTTAAAACTGCAGGGGCAGAGAGTAAGACTTTTTGTGGAACAGTAAATATTAAACCAGAATAACCTGCTGAAACAATAATAATATCTGTAATACATTAGGAAAAAATAAAACATAAATAAAAATAGGAGTTCAGTTAAAAAACTAAATATCTTCTTTTTTAACTACATTTCTTAACAATATTTTTTCTATTACTTTCTGCTTTGCAATATTGATTTACCCAAAATAGTTACTAAGAAAATTATCCACACAGTTGAAATATTTGCCCATTATTATCATGTATGAAAATCGGAACATGAATACCTGACTGTTATCTATCAGACTTCAAGTTGAAGACATTTTTTGCAGTTGTCTGGTCCCATTTTTGACAAAAGTTAAACCATGTTTTAAAACAAAATAATTTGCTTGGTTTTTCGCAAGATGCACAAAAAGGTAAAAATAGAAATAGAAGCCTGTAAAAAAACACAACTCAATAGAAGAGACAGTGAAGGGATGGAATGAACAATGTTTTAAAATAAAAAAAAGACTTCACAGGAAGCTGTTGGTTAATAAAATGCAGAGTTTCACTTCTTTCTTCAAACTTCTGGAACATGGAAACAGACATGCATCACTGATGAACCATGGCAGCAGACAGGTTTCAGGGCTAAAGTTGGAAGTTTCACATTTTGTGGCCCTTACAGTATGCAAATCACATTGGATCATGAACAAATTAATAAACAAGACTTATCTTGACCTGTGCAATATACTTCATAATGTAAGGTTGAATTCTTTAAATATACCGTATTTTAATTTGGCTCTGAAGAAGAGATTGCATTGTCTTAGTGTGCACATTTATTATTAAGTTAACAATCAAGTATATGAGTAAGTGAACTTTAGCAGGGCAACACAGAGACAAACAACCGAACACACTCACACCTCGGGAGAATTTAGAGAGACCAATTAACCTAACAGCCATGTTTCTGGACTGTAGGAGGAAGCTGGAGTACCGGGAGAGAAACCTCACATGAGAACTCCATGCAGAAAGACCCTGGGCCAGGAATCGAACCCAGGACCTTCTTGATGCAAGGCAACAGTGCTAATAACTGTGCCACTGTGAAGCCCTGACTGTAGACAGATAAAGAAAATATCAGATTATTATAATTGGATGTTTTACATTATGTTTACAGTAATCCCTTAATTTCACAAAAAAAATTCTTATTACTTGAAGTAATAGGCCAAGACTTGAAGAAATGTGAACTTGGAGAACTAACAAAAGACGAAAGTGATAGCAAGAAGGCCTTCTAACCTCCATTTTTGGAGCTTGAAAGACGGATCACTAAAATACAAAACAGGCAAAACAAAAATGGTCATGCATTATTCTTATGGTTTGTTGTCTTGGGGCTAAATATTTCACTCAATAACGTTGAATGTATGAATAATTTTTAAGTATGAAGCCTCCTCAGAATAATCTAGGTCCCTATCGGAGGTAATTGGAGCATTTCCATAGAGTCACTTTGCATCAGCAGCTCCATGCTCCAGCGCTCTGGGAGAGTTTATAGTCCTGACAGTTGAACACTGGATGACTGACAGCTGTCCTTCATCACAACGAAGACACAGAAATCCTCCTCATCTAAAACATGTCTTTGATCTGCGTCCTCATCTGGACTCTCCTCTGCTTCACTCAGGGTGAGGAAAATCATTTTTCTGTCATGTGAAAATTATTTGGAGTTTAGCTGAGTTTCACCATCTCATGTCCAGAGTTTCTTCTCTCTCCTCAGGATCTGATGGACAAAATATTGTTGTGACTCAATCAGCAGCCAGATCAGTGCAGCTCGGTCAGACGGTCACTATTGACTGTAAGGCCAGTAGACAAGTAGCTTGTAGCCCATACTGTCTGTCCTGGTACCATCAGAAACCTGGAGAAGCTCCTAAACCTCTGATCTACTACACATCATCCAGATTTTCAGGAATCTCCTCCAGATTCAGTGGAAGTGGAAAAGGAAATGGATTAGACTTCACTCTGACCATCAGTGGAGTTCAGGCTGAAGATGCAGGAGTTTATTACTGTATGAGTGCTCACTCCATCAACAGTCAGTGGATGTTCACACAGTGAAAAATCACCGTACAAAAACCTCCCTCAGTCTTACAACAGAAACTGAACTTTGTTCTGCACCTGGAATCTGCTGCTGAAACTGATACAGTTCATTAAACACAAACACACTGAACACATATTAATAATTTAAAATATAATAAACAGAAGAAACAACCAGTATCCAAGTCAATTCTTGGTATTCCTCTTCTGACAGATAAAGTTTTGATGAATAATTTCAAATCATGACATGAAGCAGAACACATTCTATAAACGACCAGGTTGAATATATATATATTTCTCTCCAGTCAAATGGAATCACCTAAAATATTCATATCACAGAAATTAAAACTGTTCTGGTATTTAAGGATTATAAAAGTGGCAAAACACATGATAAACATTTTCTGTTACACATTTTATTGAGTAGATCTCAGGATTAATAACACAATAGAATATCTTTAAAATAAATTGTTACTCTTTAATGATGCTAAAATTACTGTAACCTGAACAAACCTGTCATTTTATGACCATAATCAGAGTATAATAACACCATAAAGAGACACTTTTCAATATTCATTGACATTATCAGCAGTGTTGCAGCAGTGAGGAGGAAACCTGCTGCCGGTTCATCTCCAGCTGACTGACTCTGTGTGTTTGCATATGTGTCCCTCCTCTCTGCTCCAGCTGTTAAGAGGTCAGAGTTGATCAGTGGCTGTCCAGGCCTTTCAGAGCCACTGACACACCAGCAGCACAATGATGATGTCACTGACTCCACTGCTGACCATCCTGGGGCTCCTGGTTCAGGGTGAGACTCTGAGAGAAACTTGGTTTGAAGAAGATATGATAATTAAAATTCTACTATCAGAGAGAAATATTGAAACAAGATGTTAAAGTTTTATTTTATCTACTCAGAGATTATCGATCATTGTTAACCAAACATAGTTTCTCTCACTTGATATTTTTGATGTTTTCCAGGTTCATCAGGAGACATCATCCTGACTCAGACTCCTGGATCTCAGTCTGTTGCTGCAGGACAAACTGTCACCATCAAATGTAAAACCAGTTCAAGTGTTGGTAGCTATCTCCACTGGTACCTTCAGAAACCTGCAGAAGCTCCTAAACTCCTGATTTATGGAGCTACAACTCGTCAGTCTGGAGTTCCAGCTCGTTTCAGTGGAAGTGGATCTGGTTCTGACTACACTTTGACCATCAGTGGAGTTCAGGCTGAAGATTCAGGAGTTTATTACTGTCAGCAGGGTTACAGCAGAACGTTCACACAGTGATAGAACGTCGTACAAAAACCTCCTTCAGCTGGAGAGGAACTGATCCGACTCAACAGCTGCACTGAAAATAAAACACTGAAAGTTTCCACAAATCATTTATTTATGTTTATTAATTTTCTAGTTTTTAAGGTTATTCATTCATTCAAGCTTTTTCTCTATTATAGATTTTTTATTTTTGACATCAATTTGGATCTGACACAAAAAATAATAAAAAATAATTCTTTCCCATTTGGTTAGGAATAATGAAGAAACAAAAAATGCACTAGGAATTTCAACAGTTTATAGAAATGTTTTTTCAAATCATTGTTTGTCCAAGTAGCCATTTTTGAGAAGGTTCTTACTTTTAATGGTGGTAGTTCCTAAATATTTTTCCCTAGCTTTAAAACTGTATTCCAAATATGTTTTTAAATTTAATGATAATTTACAGGACAATTGATTCTATTCTTGTGATAAATAGTGACAATGTCTCAAGAGATTAAAAGCAAAACATAAAGAAGTAAAACAGTAGAACATAACTAAAATATTTAGAGCTGATTAAAAAAGCAGCTACACACCAGAAATTGATGAGTAAATATTTATTATCTGAACAGTGACAAACATGACAAAGCAAACATGAATCAGTGAAAATAGAGAATAATCAGCAGAGAAAGAGTGAAAGCAGTGACAGATTAAAGCCAGTATCAGAATCAGGTCAGGACTGGGAACACTGGTCTCTCCTCAGTGTCTCTGTGACTGCAGACTGGGAGCTCTGGGAGGCCTCACAGGTCACAGAGCCCCCTTCCTCCACTGGTCTGCAGGGATCCTCAGGGTGCTGCTCCAGCTGTAGAGGCCGTCATTCTGCAGCACCCCGGGGCTCCTGCTCTGCTCCCAGCTGCTGCTGCTGCTGCCGTCCAGCTTCCAGGACAGAGTCCAGTCTGAGGGGAAGCCCTTGTTGGCCAGACACATGAGGGTAACCTGCTGCTGCTGCAGCTCCACACTGGAGGGGGGCAGCACTGTCAGGGTGGGGCGGGTATCACCTAGGAAACACCAATCAGGTTAGAGAACAGGAACCGCACACCTGCTAACCAGACAGCAGAAACTGGAACATCTTTACTGTGGGAGAAATGACTTTCTTTAAGATTCTTCAGTTGAACATTTTTCTGCTCCACCAGTTTCTCCCTCACACTCTGTTTCACTTCCCTTCACCGTGAACTCCTGCATATCAGCACATAGTCCTCATGTAACCTGAAATACACTAAACTAGAAAATGAGATTAAACATAAACTGAGCTCTACTTTCCCTCCCTTTCATAAAACATCACATTAAATCTTAAGCAGGATCATTTTTAAAACCAAAATAAAAACTTTCTGATGTTCATCTTGGTAGACAATACTTCATTTTTAAGTAAAAAATAGACATGAAACTTTTCATCATATTAACACTTACAGTAGACCAGCTGTAGGGCAAAAATGACTAGGAAAATTTGAAAAACAATATATATATATTCTTTTAAAGCAATTTTGAAACTTCAATATAAATATTATCAACAAATATTTTGATATGTAATTTACTTTTCTATTGTATATAATCTTCATCCTATTTTTTTTGTTTAAAGCATTTAACAAGATTAAAATCCAGTTTGAAAAATAACATGTTCAGGATTATTAAATGTTTCATTACATTTAATTAGTGAGACAGAAATGTGAAGTCCACAATTCCTTAGAAATGTTGAAAAATATAAATTACTCCATTCACCCTTTTCATGATCCTCTTATGATCATTCTCATAATTTATCTCACAATAAATGTTAAATATTCAGAAACTTACGTCCAACATCCAGCCTGGTTCCTCCACCAAAAGTCCACCACAGTGATACAAACTAATTGAGTCGTCGTACAAAAACCTCTGACTGCAGAGACTCGGCTCTCTGACTCTGAACACAACAAACTGATTCTGACTGAAAACATTCAATGAGACTGAAGTCATATTTTCCCTTCATATAATAAATACAAAACTTTCTACCAGTGAGAAAATAATAATTATTTCTCTCTCTATGTTTCTTTTTACTGGCACAACATGAAGTTTTCATCTCTGACTGAAGCAAATGAATAAACCTAAATTATGGACGTTTCCAATTATATTAGTTTGTTGATGAACTTAACAACGATGTTCTGCTCATATTTTAATAAAATACGTGAAATATTAAACTTACTTCCAATATCCAGTCTGGTTCCTCCACCAAACGTGAACCACAGTGATACAAACTGGTTGAGTCGTCGTACAAAAACCTCTAACTGTAGAGACACCGATGTCAAAAAAAACTAATTTCTACAAGCCGAGGGCCGGACTGGTTCAATGTTTATTACCATATATTGAAATGATTGCATGTAGCTTATTGAACCAAGACCTAACACAGTGTATATTATTTAATAATTAAAAGAATAAAGCAATATTTTGTTATGGCTCTGTCAGTAACCTCAAGTGAAAACATTTTCAACAGACAAACAGCAAAAAATTTAATTGTTTTGAAAAACATGTTTCTTAATATCAAGATAAATACATAAATTAAGTGCATGCATTATAAACTGAAAATGCATTATTGTGTTGCTCTATATTCTTGTCTTCGTCTGTGTGTTTTTGAGAAGCTTAATAGATTATATTCTTAGATTACAGCCAAACTTTCTCCACAGAAAACAAACAGGCAGTGAGGGCATAGTTACTTTGAAAAAGTAACCTTTCCTTTGTTGATTTGTGGGATTTTGCGTGAACAGATTTAACTGTAAAGAACAAGAAAGAAACAAAAATTTAGTATTTATTTGCAAAATAAAATCATAAAAATCATAAAAAGATGCAAAGGCTTTAGATCTCAATTAATGGAAAGAAAACAAATTCATATTAATTTAGAAACATCAATACTAATGTTTTACCATGAGGTTTTCAATGGGGATCGAGACAGAGGTCTCTTAATTTTTAGAACTGTAAAGAAAACCCTTCAATGAACTAACTTCATAATTCATAGTAGAAATATGCCTGAATGATAAAGGTATATTTTCCAATCTTTTACTTCCGGATAAATAGAATTAAAGTAAAAACTGTTATTTCTGTTTCTACAGGTTAATATTAATTTAAATACACAAAGTTCACTGGATTGTATCACAAACAATAAATATAAATTCGTATATTCAACATACAGCTGAGCAGATTTGGCCTAACTGAGAATGTCTGAGAACAAAATCTTCCATTATGATATTTTCTATGTGTGGGAATATAAATCAGCTGGTATCAGTGGGAAACGTCCGTCACTTTAGCTGCATTAAGACGACAATGGTGTCAATGAATTTCACAATGAAATATTTAAATAATCAGACATTTAAATTGAAATATTTTTAACCGAAAAGATGATCAGTTAAATCAAACAGTTTTAGTTTGTTTTTCTTTATTGTACTTTTTGTGACAATCAATTTCAAAAGCTCAAAAGTTTAGATTGAGTTTCTACAGTCCACCAGTATGATTGAAAATTAGTCATTTTACTAGTTACTAATAGTTAATTTACAAACCCATCAACAATACAAGTAACTAAAACATTTGACTGAATTAAATCAGCTGATAAAAACATGTCTGAATTTGAAAAATGTACTTGTGAGACCAGAATTAATCCAAATCTATAATTGCAATGACATATTTGTAAAGCAAAAGTTTCATTATAGAATAATCATAAAACTCAATCTAAAGGATTCCATTGAAATCTTAAATAAAGTGATT